TCAGGGTATTAGCTCCTTATGTTATTACTCTCCATATATCTACGGATAGTGTTAATTTACCTTCATGAGTAATTCCAGTTTGCTGTGTCAGTGTTTGTCTGACTGATCAGTCGGGGAAACTCTGCCGCTTGCAGAGCTGAGCCTTGTGTGCAGCCCAAAAGCCTCACGCTCCAAAACAAAAGTTATTCTCATGGGCTCTTAGGTCGGCTCTTTTCCTCCCCTAATTTGTCCACTCTGTTTTGTGGTTTTATTCTCTTCCTGGTGAAAAAAAAAGAAATTCCCATTGATTCCCATCAGTGGGAAGGGAGGGAGGGAGAGACTATCTGAACCAACAGTGAGGCCCTTGAGAACCTACAACTTTTTATATTATGTGACTTATTATGTTATAAAATGAATATTAATTTATTAGATGCATTTATGATTTTTTAGATTATATAGGTTTTAGTTTGTTGTTTAATTTCTGATTTTTTTTTCAGTTGTAGACCAACTTGTTTGAATACTATAAAAAATTCAGACTTTTTTAAAAACAAAAGAAGTATGTGATAAGTGCATGTAATGAAAATATGTAATGAAGCCTTGCTCAGGCAAACCTCCCATAGCAGACTGCAGTCACAGACCAAGATGGAGCACAAGAATGATGCACTTATTTTTGTAATTCTGTAAATGGAGCTGGTTTTCTGTGCTATGTGTTGTACCGTGCTCTGCTGGTACCCAGTTTCTAGCCCACTGATGGAACAGTGGGCCAGCTTCACACTGGTGTAAAGACTGAGGAAGTTCACCCCTTGAGAGACAAAGTCCTGTGTTTATGCAATACCTGGATACTTGCCTACTCCCACACCACCCACTCTACAGCCAATTACACTTTTGCTAGAGATATTTACAGAGCTGAACACACAGCTGTAATTTATTCTGTTCCATCCAGTTACCTCAGTTATGTAGGAAAGGCCATTGTATGATTTTTTAACCTTCTGGCGACATGCAGTAGATTGCGAATTGTGAGGTTCCAGCTTTGCTTTACTAATCCTATCAAGATTGCATGAATTCTTTAAAGAAAAACACCCAGAGATAAAAATCTAACTGGAAACATAGCTTTTAGGACCTCTGATTTTCATCTCTTTTCCTCATTCCAATGTGACAATGTAAAGCTTTACCACGGTGGGAGCAAATACTTCAGTGCTGCCTTTGTTTGCTTTTATGTGGAAGGTTAGTCTTGGGTCTTGGGCTTTTCTGTGGCAGCAAGTTCAGCATCTTCATGGCCTGGGCTGTGTGCTGAGCATGGAGATTCCTCTGTTTTATGGCTATGGGCGACCTATTAAAATAGAAGATACCCTGTATCAGCATAAAAGTGGGTTGCATGTGTAAGTATGTAAAAGAAGCAGCTGAGCTCTGTGCCCTCTTCTCCTCCATCGTAGTTCTCCTGCCCCAGATTTCTCTGTGCTTATTCCTGCTACCATAACATCCATCTTGCCACTGATTTCACTGAGACTTCAAGTTATCTGAAAACTCAAGCTGAAGTTTACTGATCTAAGTGTAAGCTGCTGCCAGGAAGGTCGATTCTATCTTCACCTCCTTTTCATCTCCCTCTTTCTCTTTGCCTCCAACCAGATATGTATCTATTGCCTCCTTCCTCCATCCATGTCAGGCACATCAAGGAACTTATTTTGCCTGGAGACAAGTCCTTTCATTTATTTATTTTTGCTGGCACGAGATGAAAAGGGAGCAGTGCCTGGCTTTGGCACACTGTTCCCAGAGCCAGCACAAAGGGACAGGAGCACCTCTTGGGACCACAGGCACTAAGTCCTGCTATTAACCTTCCTCCCCTTTGAAAGAGGTTTGGTATCCGGATCCACAGACTTCTTGGCAATTCAGGCTGAGCTTTTTACTGGCAGAAAGGGTTGTGAGGTCCCAGATCAGATTACTGATCCAACCTTTAATAAGCAAACCTTTTCTTTCCATGTTTCTTTTAAAAGTAAAATTAGTTTTTTACACCTTGAGGAGAGGGGAACCTCATTCTCTGATGTTGTCACTAAGGATTTTGTGTACAAATCCATGGTATGGTGTGTAAGGTAGAAGGTGATGATGTAGTAATTAGCTTGGAAGATTTATTGAAGGGATCTAACAACTGGCAGGGCAAACCTGCATGGTTACCAACTTGTAAATAGCTCCCTTTCTAATTGGTAACTGCAACAAACAGCATAAGTTTTTGTTCAGCTGTGACAAAATAAGAGCCTTAAACGGGAGTTTTTATCTTTTCTCAATTCCTTCGTATTTAAATTGGATTTAAAAAAATGACACCCTGATTTCCATCTGTTCTCTTGAGAGTGCAGTGGTGCTCGGGGGGCAGGAGTGGGAGCAGTTGTTCCCAGCATCTACAGAGGAGCAAGGAGAATGCAAGGAGGGAAGGATCCCATTGGAAGGATACCTATTCCCTTAAAACATTGGAAGCTTGGATGTCCCCTTCCTCCTTGCTGAAAGCTGGAAAGCTGTGTTTCAGATATTACGTTCTTGTAGCACCTAAGCTTTGTCCAAATTTTGCTGAAATCTGTCAGCAAGACAAGAAAAGCCAAAACAGATATATTACCTCTTTAAACAAGCTGTGGCAAAGACTATATTTCCTTTTTTTTTTGGCTTTGCTTTTCCCTTCTCAGTTTCAGGAGTTCAGTAACCTTCCCAAGTGAGAGCTGTGGCCGTACCACACGAACCAACCAGTAAGTTTTCCATTTTAGAACTGACCCAGAGTTTTAAAAAATATCTATAAAGGGTGAAAAGTTTGATTTGTTTGGTATCCTGCTGAAGACATCTCCAGGTCACTGACAATTGCAAAATGTAATTCCTCCAGCCCTGATTGGGTGCCCATAAGGAAGGGTTCTTACTGACAGCATGTCCTGATATTTAATATGAATCAGGTTCTCACAGGTCTCTAATGAAGATTACACGTAAGAAACAGATTGGTTTGCTAACCACATGTGGAGAACTTTCCTCTGGAAGATCACAGTGAGTTTCAGAATATCATAATGAAACAATTATAAGTTTGAGCTACTCAAACTGGCTAGCTGATCCTTGTCCCTGCAGGATTAGTAGGACATGAAAAAATCATTTATTTATAATTATTGAGGGTGTCTGTAGAAAAGAAATTTAAGCAGACTGGATCTGTAATGGATTTAGTTTTAATTTTGCATTAGCATGAAGAAAAGCAAAAATATTAACGTTGGGCTATACTTCTTGAAATAGTTAGATTGTCAATTCTGGTATGAATTTTATTCTGTAAAATTGTCAAAATACACTTTTCTTTAGACAGCTCTGACAGAAGTTATACTTAGAAACTTTTATTTTAGTTCTTAGGAAAATTGCTTAAGAACTTTCCAAGGTTGAAAATAACTCCTACATTTGCCTGAATTTGTCATTTCTATTTGATGCTAATAAGGTTTAAAAAAAAGACTGAAAAGAAACCCATACATTTCTCCATGTAATTTGGAAATGGTTTGCCTTAAAGTTAAAATTATCTGTGTTATGTTACTTTGTCATCACACCAGATGGTAAGAAGAAATAGTAGTCAAGGAAGCATGTCCTAAACTATCCAATAACTGTATGTAAGTCAGTGTACATACAAACCATGAACAACAGCCAAAGGGTTAAATTCAGTCTTTCTCATGGTGGGTGACTGAGTCAGCCTTGATTCAAACACAGCTTTCTCAACTACTGCTTCTTTCTGTGCAATGTGCTAATAACTTCTGAAGTACCCTGGTCTCAAAGGCCTTGCAGTAGGACATGGCCCTAGTTTGAGCTGTCAGCTGCTAGAAATCTGCTTCAGATCCACACAGAGTCCAGGAGTGAAATCCTGGCTGCTCCAAAGTGAAAGATTAGTGCAGCATTTTTTAATATTTTCCTTCATAAGTTGCCACATGTACAGTAATAATCACACCGTCAATGGAAATTAATTAGTGGCAGTGTTTTCAGCATCTCTTTATGCTGTTAATTGCTGACGCCAGAGCAGCTATCAGTACCAAACAGCCCGTGAAACCTTTCCATTTGGTTGACCTTGGTGCTGTTGGAGGAGAAAACTTGAGTGTACTGGCAGACTTTGTGCTTTGCAGTCTTAGACCTTGAACGTTCCCATTACTGCCTAGATAACTGTGTAAAATATCAGTGCTGCTGAAATATAGCATTTTTGCTACTATCTTTACTGTGTCATTGCATAATCTAGCTTTGTATTCAAGAATTTCAAGCCTACATTGTATTTAGTAACATTGATTTCTTTGGTACCTATTTGATCTGCATTTGTAGCAGTGTTTATACTCTCTTTCTTAAAGAGAAGTTAACAAAAAAATTCCTGGCACTGAAATGTAAATGATGAATCCATTGAGAATTAGAGCCTTAACCCTCAGCCACTGGAGTAGGGTGCACACATCTGCTGCTGTGGAAAGGGCGGTTCCTCAGCCACCTCCAGCCATGCTGCCTCCTGCCAGTCGTGTTTCTCTTCACCTTAAGCCTTTTTTTTTTAAATTTATATCAAAGTAAGGTGGGCATGTACTCATGGTCTTATTCTACTCTTTCAAGATACATTATCTGTTGACTGTGCATATCTGTTACTTCCTTCACAACCCATGATGAATGGTTGGGCTCACTCCATCTGTAAATTTAAATGATTTTTAGGGCTGTCCCAAAGAACTTTGCAATTATCTCTTGAGCCAACTCTACAGTGGGAATTTCCAGCTCTTCATAATCTTTCACAGCACCCTTCTAAAAAGCGTGCCTAGAAAAAGAAAGGAAATTTTAATAGGATTTTTAAATATAGTTAATTCAAAGAAGTCCAGCAAGCAAGGCCTAGCTCCATAGGGAGAGGCAACTAAAGCCTTCAGTGCCTAAAGCACAAACAGTGCCTGAATATCCAAGGATCTAGGCTAACTGCCTATCCTCCAAGAACATTCCTGTTGCATTCATAAATATTAAGGTCATCCCCAGGCAGAACTAACTCAGAATTAGTGACAGGTATGCAATGCTTTTGTTTAATACTTGGCTTTAAGGTAATTGCGCAATTCCACACCCATGCGTGCAGCCAGCCTCCGACATCCCGTAGAAGCATCCTGCAGTCATCCTCATCCCAGCTCCTGAACAACACTGGCTCAGCTGTCCAACCCTGCTGCAGGCAGCTCCCTGCGAGGGAGTGGGGCTTTGGTTTGGCCAGCGGGCGATTCTCCCAGCAGGAAAATCAAGGGGTGTGGATGTACATCTGCAGGGCAGCTTGGCAAGGCTGAGGAGAGGCAGGCAGCCAAGGCTTGCTGTGGAGGAAAGAGCAATTACCAGTGAGGGGGAGGAAGGGTTGTACAGCTCCAAGTACAGCACAATCCCAATTTTGGCCAGTAAACATTACGGTAACTGATTATTCTCGCCTATTCTTGCTGTCTTCAGTCCAATGGTAAATGGCATGACAAATCTTTGCTATCTTCCTTAAACAACAGGTTTCCAGATCCTTTCTGTTCAAATGTAAGCCCAAACTGGAAGATTACCTTTTTATGGAAACACCTGGATTTGTTTAAACCTTCTGCATGTGCCACGGAAAACCCACAGAAAGACAGAGGTGCCTTTTCTGCTGTCCTTGCTTCCATGGGCTGCTGTTTCCCATGGTGGGAATTGAAATACTCAACAATAAATGTCTATTGCTGTAACACTTAAATATTTGAAATCAGTTAAGGGAGGATTTTTCATTTGAATGTTACTTTATTTAACTGTTATTAGTTCTGTGGTTTCTAGGTTGCCACATCCTGACCAACAAAATGGTCGGAATTTATTCTGGGCTGTATCATTTCTTGAAGTCTAAGGGATGAAAAGGGATGCTTATCTCCTGTCAAGCTCCTTGGAGAGCTATGAGGAAATGAGCAATAAAAGGTTCTTTGAGGCTCTTTTAACTGTAGTTTATCATCTATTATAGTTACTGATGTGTGGAAACCAACAGAAATACTTTACATGTTTATAGTTACAAAGCCCTTAACAGCTGTAGCTATGAGCTGAGCACTTACAGCTTTTTGAAATGTGTTTTCATAAATATAACATTAAATCATTGTGATTTTGTAAACCAGTTGCCGTAAGAAAACTCCTGAGATAATATGTGGGTTGACCTACTCAGTCAGGGCTGGTTTGTGGGTACTCGCTCTCACTTGTTTTCCAACTCCACCAACAGAGCAACGCAGGAGGTGGGCTTTTTGGGGGCAGGGCTGATTATGGCCAAAATGCACAAAGCAGCACTGCATTTTATTTCACCTTGCTGGATGCTGTGCTGGATGGGAAATCAGGGTGGGGAGAAGGAAACTGGGTGAGTCAAGGGCACTCAGCATAATCAAGGGCTCAGGACTGTGTAAACCTCTTTCCACTCCTTAGGACTGGAGGACACAGCAAATGGCTCTGTATTTCTTTATCCCTGAGGGAGCCAGATCTGGAATTTGCAGAGACTCAGTCCTCAGGAGCACCAGTCAAGTGATTACTATGGAGAGAGCTTTCTGCCCCAGGCTGGCTGGCCCTTCATTCCAATTTTCTGTTCCTCATGGGTCTTTTCATACAATTTTGGGACAGGACTGCACTCTTCTCTGAGTGCATTTCTCCTCTCTGCATTTCTCTTCTCATCTGGCTTGAGTGGACTTCTTGCATCTAATCCTCTCCAATGGAAATGATGAAACTAATAAGCCATTTGGATCCAGTGCAAAGGATGGTACAAAGGGGACTGTTCTCAGCATTGCTGGTTAATAGTACTGCCAAGGGCATGCAATAAAACAAACACATTGAGAACACAGACATGTCAACTCTTGCCTTCTGCGTAAGAAATTCACTCTTTGGCATCCAGACTGCTGTTCACACTATGGTCGAGCCTGCACCATCCACATTTACACTGTAGCAGCCCTGGTATGGGTGAGTGGCTGGTCTGGAAAGTCTGTTCCTCTGCCAGGGATGTTCCCCGGAGGCCCCTGAATGCCCCTGACGTGATCCAGCATGCAGATTTATCCATTGCACACTTGCATGCCTGTCCCTGGCCAAACACGAATCCCATGCACTGGGATTCCAGTAACTCAAGAAGTCTGAGAATATGCAGCAGTAAAACAAACATCAGCCATTCAACTTCCAAAAATTGCATTAAGCCAGAAGAGACAATGTTGTTTCTGAAGGTCTGTTTTAAATCAACCCAAGTATTATTCTGAAGCTAGGGCTATAATTCAGTAAAACTTGATACAATCTTGGAAAGCCATAGAAAGCTTTAGGAAATACCACTGGAAGTCGAGACCTATAGATACAGCAAGAATCTGCATTTTTAAACTAAATAGACATGCCACTTAAACAGTAATTGAAGCACACTGCAGAGGATGAAGGGTTATCTTTTCAACAAAAATCCTTACATTTAGAAGTCTTTGCCTGCATGCAAAAACTGAACCATTTTCCCAATGTTATTTGCAGCCGAAATATTCATATAGAGGAAAGGTACATCCATGCTGCCATGAGAGTGGCTCAGTGATATTGCTGATTGCCATACTTCGGTGATCCTTTAGGCTACCAGAAGGCTGACTTCTAGGATATTCAGCTCTGCAGAGGAGTTTGGAGGATAGGGCGTAAGGTGGAAGAGAGAGGTCTGCCCTCCCTTCAGGGGCTGCTGCTCCTGTTCTAAGGAGAAGAGATTAAAATAATTTGTGACATTTTTGATGAAATGTTACATTTTTTGATTGGCTTTGCCTCCTCTAGAATTTTCTTTAAATGAAACATAGATAACTACATTCTGTCCATTTTGCATAAATATGAATTGAGTTTCACTGCACATTTTACTTGTGAGGGAAGGTGGCTGATGCACAAAAGTTAAATGACTTCATATGTAAGAAAATCTATTTTAGAGCTAGCATTGAAGGACACCAGAGCTGCTTCCCACCTCTCCTGCATCCATTTCTGTCTTGTGTTTCTGCCTAAATGGGAAGGGTAAAAAATCATAGACTCATAGAATTGTTAAATTGGAAAAGACTGGAAAAGCATCGAGTCCAACCATTAGCCTAACACTGCCATGTTCACCAGTAAACCATGTTCCCAAGTGCATATCCACATGGGTTTTTTTTCATGCTTGCAGGGATGGTGATTCTGCCATTTCTTTGGCAGCCTGTTGCAATGTCTGACCACCTGTTCAGTGCAGAAATTTCATTTAATATTACAGAATCAATTAGGTTGGAAAAGACCTATGAGATGATCAAGTCCAACCTATGACCTAACACTGCCAAGTCAACTAGACCATGGCACTGACTCTCCCCTGGTGCAACTTGAGGCCATTTCCTCTTGTCCTGTTACTTGTTATCTGGGAGAAGAGACCGACCCCCACTTTGCTACAACTTCCTTTCAGGTAGTTGTAGGGAGTGATAAGGTCTCCCCTGAGCCTCCTTTTGTCCAGGCTAAACAACCCCAGCTCCTTCAGCTGCTCCTCACCAGACTTGTGCTCCAGACCCTTCACCAGCTCTGTTGCCCTTCTCTGGACATGCTCCATCCACTCAATGTCCTTCCTGAAGTGAGGGGCCCAGGACTGGGCACAGTATATGAGGTGTGTGACCTCACCAGTGCCGATCACTTCCCTGGTCCTGCTGGGCACACACCCTTCTTGGCCACGTGGGCACACTGCTGGCTCACGTTCAGCTGCTGTTGACCAGCACCCACAGGTCCTTTTCTGTTGGGCAGTTTTCCAGCCAATGTTCCCCCAGCCTGTAGCACTGCAGGGCATTGTTGTGACCCAAGCGCAGGACCTGGCACTTGGCCTTGCTGAACCTCATAAAATTGGCCTTGACTCATCAATCCAGCTTGTCTGTATAAAATAAAGCATGACAATTTCTAGTGATACTTGCTTCATAGCTTCTTTCTTATAGACTCAAGATGACATATGAGTAAGATAACCTTCTTGTTTTCATTGAAACATCAGGATGCTATTATTGTTCCTTTAGGCTCCATATTTTTATCATTAAAAACACAGATCTAGACACTACACACATTTTTTGACCTTTTTACCAAACACTGTAATATTATAATTAGATACAGAGCAGGCTTAATGTCTTTGAGGAATCAATATTGTCTTCCTTTTCCTGCACTTTTTTTACAATGCTGATATGACTTTTTCTCTGATTAACTCTTTTAAAATATACAGTGATGTTGATCAGAGTATTTTTGTAAAGAGTTTTTTAATTGAAAACGCTCTACAATGATACAAAACTTCCAATATTTGGATTTGTTACAGCTTTTACAAAAAAAAATTAGCATATCTGAAATTAATTAATAAGCCATAGTTGCTGAAGGAAACTAAAACCAGTCACATGGCATTGACATTTTAATCTCTCCTAGTACTGACTTCATCTTTCATGATATTATTTCCTAGAATTTGGATGCTTTGGTCTAGTGAAGTAATCAATGCAGACTTTGCCCTAAACCTGGAAACATGATGCATATTTTTAATGTGACTACCAAGAACTGACTTAAATGTTTTCTAAGAAAATGTTCAAGACAAACTAAGGGCAACAGATTGTAATAGCCAGAGCTGTCTTCATAAAATCATAAAATGGTCTGGGTTGGAAGGGACCTTAAAGATGTGTCCTCTGCTGTGGACAGAGACACCTTTCACTAGGCCAGATTGCTCAGGGCTCCATCCAATCTGGCCTTCAACACTTCAGGGAGGAGGCATCCACAACTTCTCTGGGCAAACTGATCCAGTGCCTCACCACCCTCACAGTAAAGAATTTTTTCCTCATATGTAATCTAATCTACTCTCTTTTAGTTTCTATTCCCCCTTATCCTGTCACTACACGTCCTTGTAGTCGCTTTCTTGTAGGCTCCCTTCAGGTACTGGAAGGCTACAATTAGGTCACTCTGAAACCTTATTTTTCCAGGCTGAACAAATCCAATTCTCTCAGCCTTTCCTCGTATGAGAGGTGCTCCATCCCTCTAATCATCTTGGTGGCCCTCCCTGGAGTTGCTCCAACAGGTTGATATCCTTGCTGTGCTGGGGACCCCAGAGCTGGATGTCCCATACTGTTTGCAACCCACAATTGATATAATAAAATATCATTGTTATAGGAAGAAAAATCTCCCTTTGTGTAAGAAAAATTATTGATGTAGGACCTCAAAATTCCACAGATTTGAAACTTGCAGTGATATTTCAAAAGAAAATATGGAAAATTAACTTGCGAGATGAATTCTAAGAAATGTGGGTTTTCTGAGAGTGCTGAATGAGATGGTATGAAGAGTTCCGGAGGTTTTGCCTGCTCAGGAGTTGATAGTA